TTTTAAAATCAATAACATAACAAGTTTCGAAAACAAATAACATAGGCCGACATGATTTTTGGTGTTTTGAGTGTCCTTAACTAATATGGGTACGCTGATTTTGAATACGAATTCGGTTTAAGCCCATTATGTCAAAATTTTTCACAAAATAAAAAAAACCTAGTGAGATAGCACAAACAAGTACCTTATTGATATTTCGTAAATTGCATTAAAATTCTTTCTTTAAAATACTTGATAGATCGATAGAAAATATTTTAATACATTATTCTATTTTTGAATAGCAACACTGCCCATCACGTCAAAATTTTCACAAAATTAAAAAAACGTTGTGAAATATTATATACTAGCTCAAACAAGTACCTTATTGGTGCTTGTAAAGTTTTGTGATCTGGGGCTCCACACAAAGTGTGCTTTCAGTGTGTCGAACTACTGAGAAAATGGACAAGAGGTACACGTAACTCTTTATCCTTCGGCATTCCTATGGTATGAAGGAAACCAAAAAACCATGACGACTGCTACTTTTGCTGTTGAGATATCAAGGGTTTCAATTCAAAAAATTCACATAAAATTCAATATCCTAATTGACCTTCTGCTTAATGAACTGTATCACATGAACTAGGAATCCCTATTCCTCCAACTTTTCTTTACACCATCCAACAGCAATCATCAGATGAAAATTCAGACGAAAAAACCGATGAAGATGAATTCAATTCCTGAGATAGATCAACCTCAAAAGCTGAACTAAATGACTTAGTGAAAGACTTGGGTCTATAATAGGATACTGCACAAATCTTAGAATAACGACTGAAAGATAAAAATCTAATGGCTCCAAGTACCACATTTTCGAGGTATAGGCATTGTGAAAAAATGTTCGAGAAATATTTTTCTCAAGAGGGCTCGCGGGTGTATTGTCATAATATTTCTGAAGTAGTCATGAAACTGGGAGCTGACAATTACGATTCCACATCATGGCATTTATTGAATGATTCTTCTAAGAAAAGTCTAAAGAGTGTCATTGTTGCACAATGGTACTACTTGTGCCTTAGTGCCTGTTGCTCACTCCGTGAGTCTGAAAGATAGTATAACGAATATTGTTGGAAATTCTGTGGAAATCTCAAAATAATATGCATGCTTTTGGGTCAGCAGTCTGGATTCACATAGTATCCATGTTTTTTATACGAGTAAGACACTCGAGCACGAAATTTACATTGCGTTAAGAAATAGTAGCCACTCAAAGAAAGACTAGTACCTGGACAAAAAAATGTGCAACGTAATACATTAGTTGACCTCAAAATAGTTGTTTTTGCCCCCTCTTCACATAAAGCTAGAATTAATGAAGCAGTTTGTCAAAGCTTTAGATATACAATGTGACTGCTTTAAATATCTATTCGACAAGGTTTCCTTGGAAACAACAAGTCTCCAGACTATAAAGAAATTATAGCTAACTTGGTCGAAAATTATAAAAAACTGGGATGCAATATGGTCTTCAAACTTAATTTTGTGGATTACCACGTTGACTATTTTCCCAAAAATCTTGAAGCTGTCAGCGGGGAGCTGGAGAAAGGTTCCATCAAAATACAAAGGAGATTGGAAAGACGTTACCAAGGCAGATGGGATATAGAAATAATGGCTAATTACTGCTGGACCTTGAAGAGAGACTCGATCACAAAAATCGATAAAAAAAGACCACAAAATGTAGTTTTCATGGAAAAAGCGAAATGTTTTATTAAAGAAACAACAAATATTGTCTAACGTAGGTTATACCGAATTCTTTTTATTTAAACAACTTAATTTTACAGTGTAATTTTATATTAAATAAGGTTTTAATAAATATTTTTTCAGTATTTTGGGCAGTTTCTATGAAAAATTTTAAAAACACTTTTCTTGAAAACCTGACGTGCTGGAAAAAAACTAAGTGCAGATTCTTGATCAGCACATCCCATTTAGTATAGGACACATTAAAGTTAAAACACTTTTTCATGAAAATAAAAATGTAGGCCTGTGTAATCTTTAAATCGTGTTTATTTGTTTATGTCTTTTTGTAGTGGTCAGAGTAACCACCCCTTGCCGTTATGCAAGCTTCAATTCGCGTGGACATGCTCCTAAACGAATTAATAATAATTTTATTGTGGAAGGTTGTTCTTGTTTTGGCGAGCCATTGTTACTTTTTGGTGACTTCGGCTCAGTCTATTCTTAACTGTTACTTATTTCTGATACCTAGCATAAGTTTTTGATACAACGCCCTGTAGCACGCCTACCACTGCTGCTATGTCACTCTGAGGTATTTCTTGCTCCAAGACCAATAATTTTTTCCCCTTTGCACATGCATTAAGCACATTTATTGTTATTTAATTTACAACTAAAGCAAATAATCTATAACCGAGCTGTGATATCTGATTGTTTTTACCGAATTGTTAATTTTTAATAAAAATATTTATTAATGACAACAATAATAAGTTATTTTTAAAGAAATAAATATTGGTTTAAAATACATGGTGATTCTTTGGTTGTGTGTAATATTTAATTTACTTTATTTTTGTCTACGATCTACTTGAGATCTTGCCGGATTTTATTAATATTGACCAGATCCAATCTGATCAGGTTACATATCGCCACAACTAAATTTTAATTAAACTTTGATAATACAAAAGGCAAATATCGATCACAGTTTTAATTAATTTAATCTTGCCCAAGTACTTTCGATCCCTACATCATCTCCAGGGGCATTTCGTCAATTGCGGTCCGCAATAAGAATAAAATGCCATAAACATAAAATGGTACATTACACTACACTACACAAGGACAAACACTTTAAAAATTTTTGAAAATAGGTGAAGCTACATTGTGTATAGAAGCCGGAGACAGAATATCATTCCGGAAGACCTTTATATTATTTAAAAAAATATAATTAGGCAGGAATGGATGAATAAATATGATCATTCGACCAAGGGATTATTTTTTATAAAGGCATTCAGCCGAAAATTTTTACCAAACCATGGTTCTGTAATTTTATAACTGAAAATCTCACTTATTTAAATTAAAAATAATTCCCCAAACTGCGAGTGTAAAGAATATGGCACGCTAGAACATATAATATAAATTGAAGCAAAAATAGAATAAAGACCAAAATTTTTATGGAAGCCAATATGAAAATAAAATTTTTAACAAAACCCATCAACCTTTATGGGTTAATAGTTTTTAACAATTTAGAAATTTATAAGATGCTATGTCAAAACATAAGCAGTTTAAAAATAAGAATTGTTCTGAAGCTATTTTCTTGTGGCATTTTAAATTAATTACTATTTAACTGGGAATAAGCCACAATCAAAGATAAAAATACGTTTATTGACGTTTTAGTTTCCACTTCGGAAATCGTTCTCAAAATACAAACAGTAAATAAACAAAATTGGAAATTAAAACGTCAATAAACGTATTTTAGCCTTTAATTGTGGCTTATTCCCAGTTAAATAGTAATTAATTTAAAAATAAAAATATGAAACAATTTCTTATAAAGACCAATGTATACCAAAACTTGTACATAAATGAAAATAATAATAATAATAATAAAATAAGGCATATAAGACACAATATAAAAAAACATAAAAAAAAGGAAAACAAAAAAATCACTGCTTATGGAACTGGATAATACTGGAAAAAAATAACCACTAGGCGCGGGATGCATGGATACGAGACTGGATAACAACTACTAGAAAATTGTATACAAAATTGTATAAAATTGTAAAAAATTATATATGATTTTTGTAAGTTTACCAATTGTATCATGTAGAATTTTTACCGTAGTTATATTGTTTTTAAAGTAATAATAATGTAAATTTTAAATATTAATAGATTTTATTTTAATCATTGTCAAGAATCAAAGCCAAACATGATTAGTCGAATGAAACCATAGGTTTCGCAGTCAATATCTCAACCACAACAAACACAGATATTTTTTAATGGTACACTAAATTATTAATAATTAAAAAAAAGACGAAATTTCTACAGAAATACAGTACACATTTTCTTAATAGTGATATATATTAAAGAAAAACTCAAATATCTTGCTGTTGATATATCCTGAACACGAATAAATTTTCCTATATAATAAATAAAAATCACGAGTAAATTGTGAATAAACGATCTTAATTGATATCAATGATTTAATGCATAAATAAATTTTAAAAAATAATAAAAAATGCTAAATTATAAATAAAATTTATAATTTACAAATTTAAAATACAAAGTAATTTTGTATTTTTGCAAGAATTTAGACGAGATAAATAAAAAGAAATGAATGTGCGTTCATAATTGCCTTCTGTGGTTAATGCGCGGTCCTAATTATTATTAAGTATAATCTTTTTAATGAACTTTTACTTCATAACAAAAGCGTTTATATTGTGTACAGTCCTACATATATAATTATAGTATTTTAAAACTTTTATTTTTGTTTAGTGTGCTTTAACGCAGATTATTTTAACTGAAACAATGTCCATGCAATATTTAGAAGTAAAATGTTTATTACTTTCTCTTAATTATAAATTTATCGACGTAAAATAATTGATTTAGTTAATATTGGTTTTGTATATTTAAACTTTTACAGTATAATAGTTTACATACCTGAAAATAATAACTTAATAAAACATTGTCTTTGTGTTAGCGTCCTTTCTTATTACACTCTCATCGTCTACTAGTTTGTAGCAATAACATATTGGCATACATCTTCTTCGACAAGCCCACCATCCTCATTTCTGGGTTTTTAATAAATAAAAAGCGTCCAATATTGTCAAACACCTGGTAGGTGGTAATTTCTTCATAGTTGTAGGCAGTTAAACTTGGTCGTAAGTATACAATAAATTTCGACGATAGGAGAGAATTTTTTTAGGAGGTCACACATAGAAAGGTCAGCGAGTGTCAAGATTTTGGTATAAAATCAGAAACAAAGATTCGGAGGATCATCAGTTCGCTTCCGGTCATCACAAGTGCGGTTGTCATCAGTGAAAATGAGAAAAATTGTGTTAGTGCTGTTTTTTGTGATATGTGCTTATGCACAGGACAGTTTTGAAAATACTGGTGTTAAATTAGCGCTGAAAATATACGATGATTGTTCGAAAGGCGATGGATTATCACCATGTTTAAAGAAAAAAGCTATCACTTTTCTCGACCGACTGAGTCGTATGGATAAATTTTCATTAGTTGATGGTGTTACTGTGCAAAAAGCTACTGACGCCCCTGTTGAAGCACCAGCCCTTACCGAGCAGCAACTGGATGAAACTTTACCTAGATCATCTGACGCCAAAGATGATGCTCTCACCACTATGCTGTTTGAAAAAGTTGGCAATTTCATTGGATCTAGGTCAATTGAAATAGCTCTTCCCAAGATTCAAACATCAGACTTAATTGAAGAAGGTAACTAATTTTTTGTTTAACTTAAAAAAATATTTTTAGTTTCTATTGTTTTTAAACACTTTGGTGTCTTGTATTTTGATAATCACTATTTTTGTTCTAACATATAAAAATGGCATAAGGTTAAATGTTCGAATAAATGAACTTCGAACAGATAAAAGGCATATATCGAGCACTATTTTATTAATTAAATCTTGTCCAAGTACTTTCGCTTCCTAGAGCATCTTCGGAGGAAGCGAAAATACCCGGAAGATTTAATTATTCAAACTGTGTTCAATATCTGCCTTTCATTTGTTCAAATTTAACCTATAAAAAATTAGGGTTTTATGTTTTTCTTGTCTTAATTTTTTCTTATGGGATTATTTTCTTGTTATAGGCCGCAAAGGCAGTTTTGGCGGCGGTGGTGGAAACAAAGGAGGCAAGGGAGGCAAAGGTGGCAAAGGAGGCAAGAAAGGAATGATGGGCATGATGATGATGGGAATTGGTGTAAAATTAGCAGCTATGATTCCCTTAGCAATCGCTGGTCTCTTCCTATTGGCAAAGAAGGCTCTGATCATTTCTAAGATCGCACTCCTGATCTCTGGTATTATCGCAGTTAAGAAATTCCTCGCACAAAAACAGTCAGGTGGTAGCAGCGGATGGCAATCGGGAGGAAGCAGTGGCGGATGGCAATCCAGTGGTGGCCATGGAGGCGGTGGTGGCTGGCAAGCAAGCGGCGGTGGATGGGACAAAAGGTCTTATGAAGCGGCGTCAGATCTTGCATACAGCGCTTACAACCCAAAATAGAGTTAGAAGAACCGTCACTAGGTGATAGTTTGTGTATAAATGTTTGACCCTTTTTTGGGATAACTAATTTTGCTGGCAGTTACTTGTCAGTAGAGTTTTTGTTACTGCTAAAATATTTATTTATTATTTGTATTTATTTAATTTATTTTTGAATAATCACGATACCTCAAAGATATACTTTTACCAAAGAGTATGTTTTTTGTAAAAATAAAAAGATAAAAATATACCTTTGTTTTATTTCTACTGTATTTAAAAGGCAGTAAAACTTGAGTTGTTTAATAAACTTTGAAATAAATAAAAAAAACAATGATTTTACTTAAATATTTAACAATTCTTTCTATTTTCATCCGTTTTGTTTATCTTTTAATGTTTAAATACAGTGTGTTAAAATTTTTTAAAAAAACGGACAAAAACCAATTAAAAAATGGTAATACATATTTAGACAGTATGGAGAATTCTCACAACCCATTTCAACCCATCAAGTTATTTATATTTAACATTAAACATGAAATTAAAATTAATTCTCAATTTTTTTTGTAATATTTATTGTCTTTTGAAAACAATTCTTGCAAATCAACACCTGCTATTACAAAAAAGGTAAAATTGCACAAAAAAATCTTAGGAACACAGTGACTAAAACAAGAGATGTCAATTATATATATATATATTTATGTATATATATATATATGTATACAATAGCACTAAAGTCCTTAGAGGCCCATGGCTTGAAAAGTTTGTTCTTTCTTCATTTTCGCTTTTCTTTTTGTACTGTGATCTTCTCTGGCTCGATAGGTAATTTTCTTTATTCCTTCTGGTTATTCATTTTTATTTTCTGGCCTTCTAGTCCAATTTCTTCTATATCTTTTTCAACCTCTCGATTTCATCTATTTTTTGGCCTTCCTTTTCTCTTTTTTGAAGTATGCTGTAGTTTAGTACCCTTTGTGGGGTCCTCGTGTTCGGCTTCCTTTCTAGGTGACCTCTCCATCTTAGTCTCTGTACCTTTATGACTCCTATTATATTGGGATATTATATAATTCCTTTAACTCATCATTTGATGTTCTTATCCATAAACCGTTCCTTATTATTCCTTCATATATCTTCCTCAGGATTTTTCTTTCCATATCTCCATAAATTTTGTTTTTTCGTCGTTGTCCATGTCTCACTTCAGTATGTTATTCTTTATTGTATAGTTGTTTTGTATAACTGTATTTTTGCCTTTCTTGATAAAAAGTTGCTTTCCAACATTTCACTAAGAGCATGTACACTTCAATTGCCTGCGATTATTCTAGCTTTTATTTCATCTTTAATGTTAGGTTCACGTGATATTATTACACCTAGGTATGTAAATCTTTCTACCATTTCGAATTCGTATGATAATCCTTCTTTTTCTTCTACTTTAAACTTTACTCCATTCCTGAACTGATTATCTGTCCACTGCATACATTTCAGTTTTAGTTTTATTTGTGTAAAGTCCCATTTTCTTCGCTGCTTTTACTATTCTCTGTACTCTATCCTGTAGCCCATTTTTTCCTTTGCCAGTAACACTACATCATCCGCAAATGCCAAAACTTGGAGTCTTTTATGATATAGAAGTCCTTCTGTATTGATTTTGGCTTCTCGCAATATTTTTTCTAGGCATAAATTGAAAAGTAATGATGACAAAGGATCGCCTGCCTTAATCCTTCGTTTACTATAAATTTGTCCGATGAATAATTATTTACTTTGACTCTGTTCGTCGATATTTGGTGTCTCGCTTAATAGAATCTTAGACAATCTAAGGTACGTTGGAAACAATCACCTTCTAATATTTATACCTAACAACAAAAGATGTCGCTGTGCAGAAGAGAGGTGTAGCAGTAGTACTCGAACAATGTGTAGCAAATGTGATGTCGGCATGTGTATTGACTGCAACTATACTGTTCATAATACGAAGACATTCTTGTTATAATATAAATTTCATTGTGTTCCTTGAGAATTTATTTTATTTTTGTTACAATACCGTAATGACCTAGCGTTACATTTATGTAACATATATTTTTTTGTTAGTTAATAAGGTTTTGGGTTAAAAAATTGTTAATTTGCCTATTATTATACATTTATAATAAAAATATATTAGTTTCTTTAATAAATTACAAAAAAATATACGTGTCATAATGGGTTAAACCACAATATTTTATTAAATTTATCTTGTAGTTTTTTGGTCGTTTTCACAATTTTTCTTAGTATTTTCAAATTAACAAATAATATCAATCTGAACTAACTCAACACATTTTATAAATACAAACCTACACATACAGCCACATAAAGATACCTTTATTTAAAATCACGACACTCTTTACTATTTTATTTTAAACCCATTGGAAGTATGACAGAAGAAAATTCTATAAATAGACAGAGAGAAACGCAATATTCTGTGTTTTTATTGATGGTAGTTATTCTCATTAAAAGACTGTGAAAGTAAATTTTCACAAATGTTAATCCAAACATTTTCACAATTTTAAATATCGTCGTCAATTGCGTTTATATATTTTAAATAGCAATTATTAAAAATTATCATGATCCAGTCTACTAGATCGTGTCTAAGTAAAAGTAATGTTTGAAAGATTTATTTATACCTATTTTTTATTAAATTTCAATTTTCAATGTGATATATATCGAAAATATTAATGCATTATTGGGAAGAGTAAAATATTTATTAAAGTCTTTTACTTTCAAAGCAATATTGTTCAAATACAATTAATAAAACACTCCATTAAAACCCTTTAATTGGCAAGGGTATAAACACTTAATGAAAAATTAAAATTTTTTTAAATATATCTTCATCATCATCAGCCTCTTTCAATCCACTGCTGGACATAGGTCTTCTCTGTCTGTCTCCAAAGTGTTCTATCTTGTGCTTGCTGTGTCCAGTTTTTTGTTGTCTTTCGTAAGTCGTCTTGCCATCGTATTGGTGGTCTTCCTCTGCTACTTTTATCATCTCTTGGTCTATATTCAACTAGTTTGGAAGTCCATCTTCCATCCTTCATTCTGGCATTATGTCCAGCCCATTTCCATTTTAAGTTACAGCTTCTTTCAATCACGTCTATGATTTTGGTCTTAGCTCGTAGATCTTCGTTTCTAATCCTGTCTCGCAGAGATGAGTGAACATGGCAAACAGAGCAGCAGGATTTCTCAACAACACAATCTGGAGAAACAAATACGTCACAACGGAAACGAAAACCAGGATATATGAATCAACAGTAAGACCGATAATGACGTACACAGTAGCAACAAGATAGATACGGCGAAAACACAAACTTTGTTGGAAAGAACAGAAATGAAAGTCTTTACGAAAAATAACAAACCAAACTCTAAGAGACAGAGTAAGAAGTGAGTAAATACAAGCGAGATGTGGTATAGAGGAAATAAACGCGTGCACCAAAAGAACAAAATTGAAATGGAATAAACACATCGAAAGAATGACAGAAAATAGAATAGTACGAATAGCAAGAGACAAATCGTTAAGTGGAAGAAGATCATTGGGACGACCGAGGAAAAGATGGTCAGACAACGCCAATTAAGGCCAAAAACCGAAGCAAAACAGGTATTAAGTCTACTTATAAAGTAGGAAGAAGATATATTAGCCTCAATTATCGGCTATCAATGGCAAAATCGCAATAGGAAGGCATGTTGACTATCCCCATAAGAGCTCAATACCAACGAAAGATTTGTTTCCTTAATATTAGTGGCTACAAATTTACCTGTCCTCTGGGTTGAATACAGATTTTATTATCTGCAGTTATCGAAAACAGATCGTCCTTTCTTCGAAAATGAGTAAATGGTGATGAAATATTAGTTACATTACTGCAACTCTCTCTTCAATCCTGACCCCCAGGGGGAATGTAGTGGTCGACGTGATGTCGTGTATTGTCCGTCTCCAGAGATCTCTGTCTCTGGTCATTTCTTTTAATTCATCATAGGTCTTTGCATATCTGTATTGATCTTTCTTGGGGATCCCTTCTTCGTTCTACCTTTCCTTGTATTATGAGTCTTTCCATGTTTTCTGTGTTTGCTCTCATAACATGCCCAAAATATTTTAATTGTTGGAGATGGACTTTACTAGAGAGTCGTTGGCTAACTTTTAGCTCTCTTAAAATTGAATTATTTGTTCTACGGTCTGTCCAAGGAATTCGTAACATTCGTCTCCAACAGAACATTTCAGTGGCGTCTATCTTTCTTCTCTCCGATTGTCTCAGAGTCCAAGATTCACATCCGTAGGTCAGTATTGGGAATATTAAGCAGTTGATCAACCTCATCTTTATCGCTCTTGAAATTTGACAGTCCTTCCATATTTTGGTCATTTTTGTTGTGGCAACTTTTGCTAGATCACATCTACGTTTAATCTCTTCTTGTAATGACCCTGTGTTTGTGATTAATGATCCCAGATATAAGTATGAGCTCACAACCTCGAACCGGTCAATTGTGGTTATGTGTGGATGATTGTTGTGTAGTCTATCCACTATCATGATCTTTGTCTTTGATATGTTTAATTGCAGACCAAATATTTGACTTTCGTTTTCGATCAGTCATATAAGTTTCATCAGTCTGCTTGACTATTTGCAAGAAGGGCTGTGTCATCTGCGAAACGTGGGTTGTTTAGTTTATGACCATTTATTGAGATGCCCTTTTCCCATCCTTCAAGTGCTCTTCGCATAATATACTCCCCATATATGTTGAATAATTGTGGAGATAGTATACATCCTTGTCTGACACCCCGTTCTGGATGAAACTCGTTCGAAAGTAAGTGTGTCAAGTACTTTAACTGATTTAGTAGTGTGTTCATATAGTTCAGTTTTAAGCGTAATTAGATGTTGTGGTACGCCTACTTCTTTTAGTATTCGCCATAAGTGTCTCCACTTGACCCTGTCGAACGATTTACGGCAATCTATAAAACAGATGTATAGTGGGATGTTGAATTCCCTAGATTTCTCGATTGTCTGTCTTATATTTAGTAGGTGTTC